ATTGCAGCCGCATTTTAGGACTAAATCCGCTCAGTGCAGTTTGGCAAATTGTGCAGCATTCCCTTCGCTAACTTTTGTGCCTATGAGGGAGGGAGATGGTTTGGTTTGCTGCCAGCCAGGACCCTCATATCCTCACACAAGTGTCTGTAGTAATTGCCGCCGTGCCGTTGATTACACTTCAGCATGCGCACACATACACAAATATACATACATGCATAGCAGCTCCCTTCTACATAAACTTCGCACACAATCCCAACACAACCAACCCATTTCCATGGTGGGGGCACTGCGCCCGCTGGGCTTTTAACTGCGCTAGTTTCAGCCATAAACTCGAGCTCCAGAACTGTGGAACTGCAGATGCATCTGAAGCTGGAGCTGGAGCTGAATCCGACCAGAAGCTGGGACAGCACATGATTGCCAGCCGACAAAGTTGTTCTTAATGTTTTCATTTAAAGAGTTCATTAAAAGGATGATACTTGTTAGGTTCATTAAAGAAAAGAATTAGTATCTGTTTTACTATATTTTGTAAGTGTTAAAAGGTCTGGTTTGAATTAGTATCTGTTTTACTTTTTTGTTTTTAAGTGTTAACAGGTCTGGTTTGTGAGAATAGAAACAAAGTACTTAGAAGTCTTGTTAGGAACTAAATGAATTAAATGTTTTAGGTAGATTTAGTACGTATATCCTTTTTAAATCTTGAAAATTATTTGGTATCAATTATTCAAATTTGATTTATGGAATTGAATAAGTATCTGTTTTACTATTTTTAAAAGTTAAAAGGTTTGTTTTGTTCTACTAAAAACAAAGTTATAAAAAAACGTGAAAAGAAGCAAAGTAATTAAATGTTTAAAATAGTTTTCTTAGGTTTATCTTGGTTACATTTAAAAAACCATCATACTTTTTTCTTTATAGAAAAATATCCCCTAACCCCAAGCACTCTTCAGTATTATAAAAATAAAACAAGCATAAAAACATATTGTTTTTATACCTTTACTTGGTATACATATATATAATTCTAAAGGCTCCAACTTTTCCGTAAATCACTGGTGACACTTTGGTCACCTTTTGTCATATATGCTTATGTACAGCTGGTTGTGTCCCTCTTTAGTTCGAGAGCTCTGAGTTCCGAGCTAAACGTCTCCTTTTCCACTGCTGCCGACCCCCATCCCCCCTGCATTTTCCACATCGCTTTTCCCCATCTTCCTGTTAGAGCTGTGTGGCAACAGCTATATTTGAATATTTAATTTTTTAGCGAGCTGGGAACATTTCGCACTTTGAAACCTGACGCTAAACGATGCCAGACCTATCGTCCTTACACCCCCTCGGGGTGTGTGTGTGTGTGTGTGGTGTGGTGTGTGGCAAACGAAAATGTTTTCCCCATCAAATGATGGCTTCCATTGATTGCGAGTTCAATGCTCGCTTTGACGACACCAAACCCCAATTGGCCCTAAGTCAAAAAAAAAAAAAAATTCCATAATTAATATAATTTGGACACGAGCCAAGTTTGATGGTTCGGCGACCACGCCTTCCTTCGCCCCAAAAACTGTCCATTTTTCACCTGTCATCTTTTATTTTTTTTTCTTTTTAATTAAAAGAATTCCGCTTTAATAAATTCAACTTTGACAGCAAGCTGAATGGCAGAAGGTGCCAGGGAAATTAATGAATGAATTGTGTGAATGAAAGAATGGGCGAATGCACGCAGCTCTTGTTTTAAGCCTTTACCCAGTTAACCGGTCAATATTTCAAAAGGTCTTTCAATATTTAATTGACTTGATGTAAGGGAATCCAGGGACAATAAGAGAATGGCAGTGAATGCAGAAAAGGATTGCCATTTGTAGTAATCGCCTTGCGTAATCGGTTTGCATTTCGTTTTTGGGCAGAAAATGCTTTATCTTTGCTCTTTTTTGGGGTATGTATATAATATTATATATTTATTGAGCAATTTATAAGATACTTTAGTCAATTGTAAGCCCCCAATTAAGTATTATATTTTAATAAATGAAAGTTAATATATGAATTGCTTTAGGTTAAGATTTTAAAGCATACTTTTCAGCGCCTTTTAAGCTATTTGACTTTACTTGAATTTCCATTAATTTCTGACACATCTGTCATTTCAAGTATTTATCTAAAAATATTTCCCATTTTTTCCTACTTCACATTTTCATACTAGATGCAGTTTTTGGTAGACTTTTCCGAGGGAAATTCCATTAATCCGTTTGACACTTCGCCATTGCGTTGAAGCGACCCAGTTTGACATCGGACTTGCAGTGCAAAAATCTCGAAACTTTTCTTTTTTGTCTCCTCCTATTTTCAGTTTCACAAAATAACCCAAAAAAGAGCACGTTGAAGGAGGAGGAAAAGCAGCAAGTTGGGCGAAGAGGTTTTTGAGGGAGGGAAAATTAGAAAAAAAAAAAAAGTACGCGCCAAACTGTATGACATTATGGCCATTTCTAGAAGTTGTTGCTGCTTTTTGTTTGTTGTTGTTTTTGGCCCACGCGCTCTACGTGCAATGTCACCCATAATGTCACCCACATATAGTACACAAAACACTGAGAAAAATGGGGTAGAGAAAGAATATTTAAAGAGTAGAATTGATGTAGATGTGGAATCAGCTTAAAACAGTAGCTGAAAGTATGAAATAAAATATTTTTAAGCAGGTTGGAGGTATTTTTAATATAGTCAGGTATTGTTTTCACATTTTATTTAGAGAAAGGTTGACTTAATCCTCAATTTTTTCTCTCTGTACCAAAACTTATAGTCCACACATACATTTATGGCCATAGAAATCCACACTCACACTCGCAAAAGCTTCCGCTCTGGTTGCATTGTTCATTTAAATTCTAATTTGTATTTGGTGCACTCGACACTGGGACAGCCTTCGGCGGATTAGGGGGTGTGGCAGGGGGGGGCAGGAGTTGGGTTTTTCCCCGGGTGGCAGGTACACGTTTCCTGCCAGGTGGACAGGTGGGGCGTAGTGTACAGGTCGACATAGAAGTCCCATTCTCCTCGTACAAAATGCACAAAAAGAAGCCCGACTGTGTCCCAATAATGTCCTTGAAAAAAGGCAAATTCGACTTGTGAACTTTCGTTACCTGTTTTCGTGGGAGAGAGACTTGCCCCAAATGGGCGTGGCCCACACACACACACACCCACATCACAATTTGTTATTGTTAGAAGTTCATCTTGATTCCGCTTTTCGCTGGCAAATTTGAACATTTTTCCCATCATATTTTCTTAAAAGAGAAAAAATTTTATTTCGAAAGCAAAAATCCTCGAAAAAAGTATTGAAAAACCATAAAGCAACTAATTTTTTGATAAGAACAAGTTTTGACAAAGTTTTTTTTCACAATGAAAATGTGGAAAAACTTTTGGCTAGCTACCATTAAGTTTTGGATAAAATTTAATTTTCCTTCGGGAAGATTTATTTTTGGCTTGCTAAGTAATAAATTTTAGTTTGTGAGTTGATAAATCTTAAGTTTTGAAAGTGGAGCAAAATTTAATAACAATAAGTTGGTGAATTTAATAGGAATTGGAGCAATGTAAAGTATATATTTTATATTCCCCTTTAAACATGATTTACCTTGAATTTAGGCCACGGATCTTTTCTAAGTTACCCCCAAGTGCAAAGGTTAATTTGCTGTAATATATATCGGCGATAGTCTTGCACAATTCCCTCCCTGGGTTATTTTTCCAATCTAGAATTCTCTTATCTCATTGCATTGCTGGCATAGTTGGCTATCGGCCATTCCAATCTGTAGGCTCCCCCGTTTTCCGACTTTTCCCCCTGCATTTTCCCCCCTGCGCCAGTTAAGCCGACATGTCGTTTCATTTAAAGTTTATCGCGTTTCTCCCCTTTTCCCTTTTCCCATTTCCCATTTTCCTTGGGTTTTTAGTGGGCATTCTGAGTTTTTTTAATTCAGTTGCAAGTGAATTTGTTGTTGGCGCTGCTACTGGGCTGCTTTAGTTGATTAAAAACCGCACTCAAAGTGGAAATGCGCTTTTCTTTGTTCCCTATCTCTCTCCCTGCCTCTCTCTCTCTCTTGGCCAGTGTGTCTTATGGCTTTTGTTCTGGAATTTATAGCAGGTTTAACCCACTTCGCCGCAATGTTCTCGATTTCAGAAAAACCCCCCAAGGCTGTCGGCCATGTAAACTTTTTAAATTAGTTGTCAAATGCAAGCTGCTAAGCGGAATGCGATAACATACACTCACTCACAAGCAACAATATATGTACATGTATATAAAATATATGCATACATATACACAAGGGAAAATCGCTAACTGGCATTAATTAAAAGGCGAAATATTTCCAGAGTTTTATGTCCGTTGCGGCATGCTGCATATTATTGCGTGCCGCAAGTGCATTGACTTTCCGCGCGCGAATGAAATGCAATTCAATGGGAAATTGTTGTTAAAATGTTTCAGCTGGGGGTTTTACTCCATGAGAAATGCAAACATAAATCTTAGATAAGGCTATTAAACAAAGTTTAATTTGGAATAGTTGCTAATGCTGCACGGAAAGAAAATCAACGAATAGTATTGGCACGATTTCAAATTACAGAGGGAAAAGTTAAATGAATAAGAGAACGAATAATTTAGTTTATTAACTTAAAACTTTAAGAACTTGGAAACTAAACTGGTTTCACTTTTTAAAAATTAAAGAAACCACAACTCATATAAATTTTTTAATGTTTAACCTTTCACATTCTATATTTTCATTAAAACATTTTTATAAATACAAAGAATTGAGTATAAAATATATTTAAAATTAGTTTTTTACTAGTTTAATTGTTAGTTCTTGTTTGTAAAAATATTTAACACATCTAAACTTAGCTTTTATATTATTTTATATAATTTTGACTTGTACAGTTTTTGTACTGAATAAACAAGAATTTCCTCAAATGGTTGAATTCTTCTTTGATTTAATTTAGAATTTATGTAAGGTTCAAATAAACATAAAACTGAATTAAGAAAACTGAATATTTTCTTACTTTACTTTGTGCGTGCAAAATTTCTCTCAGTGCAGCTTAACTGCCGCCTTGGCTCTTTGGTTACTTAGTCGTTTGTCCTCGTTTCAAACCTCATCGTAGTTGGGTTTATCGCCGAACTTGACAGATCCCCGCTGGCGTATATTTTCGCGGGTTTGGCGCTTATACTGACCCTTGGCCACCACCTTGGTGGCAGTCGCCACCGGCTGCTCAAAGGCCACGGCACTGGGCCCAATGGGACTGGTCAGCTGGAAGCTGCTGTGTGCCACATCAGAGGGCCACTTCTCACCGTGCATGGCATCCACCAGGGCCTCCTCCAGTTCCTCCTCCTCGAGCTGTTGCTTGTGCAGGTGCTTCTGGTGGCGTTGCTGATCACGAAGGCGGGCCCGAAGACTGCTCATGGAGAAGGAGGGCGGCGTGGTGCTGCCCTCGGTGTGGTCATCAGTTTCCCGGATTAGATACACTTCCTTCTGGTGGTGATGGTGTTTCCGGGGTCTCTTTGTGGTGGACTCTCGCTCACGTTCTCGTTCCCTTTCCCTTTCCCTGAACTTCTTTAAGAATGCAGGAGGATAATTGGGTGCCTCTGTGGTGGTTGTAGTTGAAGTGGTTGTACTGGTTGTAGTCCTTTGCCTGGGCCTGGGAGGATGATGCTCTAGATGCTCCCGGAAACTCAATCCCTGACTGGGCACAAAGCCACTCTCCATGGAGGATGAGGGCATCGATTCCACTTCCTCGCTGGCTTCACCTGTATGCTCGGTGACCTCGTACTGGTGACCTCTGTGCTTGGTCACTTCGTTCTCCGTTTCCTCATCCTTTTCGTACTCGTAGCTGACCAACTTCTCGGGTTTGGGCAACATCTCATGATCGCCACTGGATATATCCGTGTGCAGATGGCTCAAGGCCTGGGGTCTCAGGGTCACAAAGCTGGAGGGTTGCTCACCCGGTTTGTAGACTGGCTTCCAGCTCTGGTACTCCATTACCTTGCCGGAGATTACCTCATTTGAGGAGGAACCACCGCGGGGTCGCTTCTTGAAGTATTTATTCAAAATAGCTTCATCACTGGTCATGGGTGCCTTACCCTCGGCTATAAGCTCCTGTTCCTTCTCCAATTGTCTCATTTGATGCTCATAATTGATTGTAGAGGTCTCGGTGATCATGGGCTTTGCCAGAGGTCTCCGGATCTTCACCACCTTCTTGGGCGACGGTCGCATTTTGATGATCTTCATCGGTTTGTTGTTGTGCGGATTACGAATGATGTATCTCACTCGTGTCATCTCCGTGGGCTGCAAGTCAATGGCCGCCGCCAGCTTCTGGCCATAACTTGCCGTGCTTGGCAATAAACCTGTGATCATCGTCTTCATGGCTCTGGCGCCATGATACATCCGTCCCAGCACGCCACCCATCACCGAGTTGTTCATCTCCTGCCACATGAAGCGTCTTTGGATTCTGTGGATGAAAGTGAAAGCCAATGTCCGGGAGTCTTTAGACTATTATCGGTTTATGATGATCATGAAATCTTTATCAAGTTTAATTAATCATTGGAAAAGGTTTCGGTAGGTAAAAGGTCTTTAAAAATATGAATTAACTAGGTGTGAACTATGTTTTAGTAGATCTTTAGTCACAGCATATATTTTTAACTATTTCTTGATTAATAAAAGGATTTTTACTAACCAAAATCTTCCAAGCTTCTGGGCTTTAACTATATATTCCAAAATTTGTATCCCATTAGACTCACCTTTGATCTTCTCCCAGGTGGTCGCCACTCACAAATATGATCTTTAGCAGCAGGAGCAGCCAAAGCCAATTTATCTACGAAAGTTGAATTATAATCCAATATATCCAAAAACCGGATGCACATGGTTATGGGGTTTGACAATGTGTCAATTAACAGCTGACTTCCTTGGTAATCCACTTCTGGCTTACTTACGCAATGCTTCCTCATGTCTCCGATTGTGAACGTGAATGTGAATATATATTTATATTCCCACCGCTCGAATTTGAATATTATTTAGTTTTGGGCGGCAATTCGAGAGCTCCTCGGATCGTGGCAACTGGCGAATTTCAACTGTCGGCGGCTGCGCTGCAAGCACTTGCTTTTATATACTATCCGGCAAGTTGCAAGTTGCAAGTTTGCAAGTTGCAGGTTGCTTGCACGTTGCCCGATGTTGCTCCAATTATTGGAGCGCTCGTTGGCTTTGAGCTTGGCATTGGCATTTTCGTTTTTCAATTTTATTTCCATTTTCATTTTCATTTTCACTTTCGTGGGTAACAATGGGCATATAACTTACAAGAGCTGGCCGCCTTTCGTCAAGCAATTAGTTCCATTACTTTTCAGTATCTCAACAGCCTGTGGTTTTGTCTAGCTACTTGAATTTTCCTTCCTTTATTTTGTTGTTATTTTTTGTTTCATTTTTATATACTCTTAAAACTATGTACTTTATGTACTCTCGATTTTACTAGCAGCATTAGTTTCCGCATGCATTTTCTTGCTGCTTGATTTCACCTGCATTTTCCATGTGATGGCGTGAAGTCTTTGAATATGTTTTAAATATTTCTTAAATCAGTGGAAAAAGCTTCGTTTTGCACCAGGCACCAGCACACGATTGTTTAATTATGACTTAATATTTATTAATAAGCGTTTTCGGCCTCTGTTTTTGTTGCCGGCACTTAAATTTATCGATGCCCCGGCTTTGTCCATCATATATTGCATCCTCAACATCAGTGGTTGCATACAAATTATGGTTACAGGGGAGGGTTAAAAAATTAGTAATTGTTACTTAATAGTTTTAAATAGTATTTACTAATTTTAAAGAACCTATAACATATTTGTATGACAATTGTTTATGGGTAAACGGAGGCTTACTTAGTTTATTTTGTAGTATTTTATGGAGTTTAATAATTTTTAATAATATACTTTAAATTTTATATAGAAATTCAGAAATGGAAGATCAGTTTAGAACATAATTTTATACGTAAAATAAAAAAAGGTACTAAATTATTTTGTGTAAAATGTATCATATATTTTTATGGCTTCCTAGCCTTCTTAGCCTCTTTTAGTGTTATTATTATGACCTCTGCTGTATGCTTTTGACCATTATCATCATTGATGGCCGATGATGGGCAATGCAGCGCCATCTGTCGGGCGAAACGTGCCAAACGATTCGCTTCGGCAAATGACTTTGTGGCGTGTATGCATTTTTCTGCTCCCCATCATCATCATCATCATCATCCGAGTCATCCTTATGGCCATGGTAATGCTGTTGATGCTTGTTGAGATCTCTTTTTATTTATTTTTTTTTTGCTCTCCAACCCAAGAGCTCCACTCAAGCGCATTTATTTCTGCGGCAGGTGGCACCTCTTCAGTGTCGAATGCCTCATTATCGAGGGACGAATGTGTGTGTGTGTGTGTATGTGTGTCAACTGCAAAAATTTCTGCAAATTTATTGAAATATATTTTTGGAGTGGTCAAATGGAAAATTATCAGGTATTTGTTTGTGTAATTTAAGTGGCTTAAACAACATCAAACACAAACTATACTGACAACAGTCTCTAATTAATTCGCAATAAATACACCATAAGGGGTTTTCCTATTTACTCTGTGACTTCCTTTTTTAATTGGTCCGAATTGTGTAAATATGCATGAACTTGATAATATAAATATAAATACATTCCTTTAAAACACTGAAATTTAACACATTTTAACATTTGTATATAGTTTTGTGTTACGTTGTAAAGCATTTTTAGTGCAGAGCTTAAATTGTTATGGATTTCGGTTAAACTTTCTCTATGAAGTGAATAACCTTTGGCAAATGTATATTCAAAATGTTGTTAAGCCAAAGCCTCTACTTAATTAAATCCTATATGCCCTTGAGTAGTTTTTAATTAAAGGCAACGGATATATTATCTAAATGATATCACCTCACTGAATAATATCTCAATGCAATTTGTGTGTGTCAAGGTCTCAGGGCAGCTTAGGCTCCTTTATGGTCTTATCAAGTTGTAATAATTGCATTTGTGCACTAATTAAACATCTGTTAAGTACAAAGAGAGGGTGGGGAATGTAAGAAATTAATGTGTTTGTATATATTACACCATTCCATACCATATCGTCATAATAGTGTTAGCTTAGCTCTTTGATTCCTTGCTCTACACATTACGCATACGCAGCGTTGTACGTTCGAGGGAAGTCTGGTTCAATACGCGTTCGTTCGCTCTCCACGCTTCAGTCAATAATGTATTTAAAATGCCATTTGTGTAAATGGATTATGTAATCGATGCAACATTGTGGCAGTGACTGAGGATAATGCAATATGCCTGCTGCTTTATACCAAAATCGCACATACGCCCCCATGTACAAGAAGTAAGTGCGTATATATATTTATATATAGATGTCTATATATATAGACATATTTGTGTTATTGCTGCCTAGCCTGACTTTGCTGATAATGCTAGCTTACAGCCAGAGTCCTGAACCGAACCGAACTCCTTGTCGTTTGTAGTCGTCCTTGCATAAAAGCAAATTGATGCCCTAAGCCAAATATAAACACAATAAAACCAAACAAGCCGCAACGACAATGAACCGACACACACGAACACAGCAAGAAAAGAATAAAGACTAAATTATTATATATTATTATTAAATCTTAGATGTTGTTTTAATAGAAAATTATTGTAATTCACGTAAAAAACTTGAACTTTTGATAGAGGTTTTCAATTAAAAGTGCTAAGAAAAATGCTGTTCAAATCCTTTAAAATTAGCTACCTTGTTCCCTTAATTCTTACACAATTTCTCTCACTGCATACAACTGCTAAGCCTGCGGAGGAAATGACAGGACGAGAGGAGTGCCAAAGTGATGCCACTGCCTCCTGTATCAGTTGGCCAAAGCATAAGGCGAGAGCTAACTGCAAATTGTATGAGCTCGAATTTTGCCTCGATGCCACAGATTTTGCCATCTACCCATCTCTCGCCTCTCTAGTCTTGTATCTAAAACGTTGATAACATTCACATTTCGGGTCTTAGCATAGACACTCTGCCATCTAGCAGACATCGCATGTTGGTCGAAAAGGATAACAATGGCATTGGCCTGGTGGCCGCTGCAATAACTTCGTCGAAGTAATGGAAACCGTCCCCAGAATCAGACTCTGATTGATATGGATCGATGGTTCGCTTACATCGAAAGACATTCAATAGTGGACAAAGTGGGCAGAATAAGGCGTGGTCCGATTTACAAATGACACCAAAGAGCTGACATTGATGCAGTTTAAGGGTAAAAAAGAGTTGTGGGTACAAGTCAGATGGGAAAAGTCATATCTTAGGTAGTATTAGCAGAGTAATTTTAGTTTATAGTTTATAAAACATCGTTTTGCATTTCTTTCCCCATTCAGTTTAAAACTTAAATATTTTAAATTTATCTTAAATGCAGCTTGAGCTAAAAGAAATCAATATACATATATATATTTTACCATCAGCATTTAATAATAATATACATTCATTTCCACATTGCCCCACTCATTTGCATTGAAAATATACATGTTTTCATGTTCTGACCATCTTTCTTGCTTTTATTTTTCTTTTATAAACCAATTTGTTGATACTGATGATGTTGTTGTTGTTGTTGTTGCTGTTGTTGTTTCTTTTAATATTATATTACATATATTTTGCGAGAGTAAAAATGCATTCACCTGTCGTCCGCTAGTCAGCTCCCTTTGAACCTTTTTCCCCGTACAATGTTTTCCAGCATTTTCCCTTTGCAGTCTCAGCGTCAGTATCCTGATGTCCTGGTTGTTGTTGATTTTGTTGGTGTTGTTATTGGCGTTTGTTGTTGTTTGTGTTGCAGGCACTGATTTAATGCCAGGGGCAACTCCGTTGTTCAGCTTTCCTTTTTTTATACCCTTATGTTGAAGGAGATTATCAAATTGGGTCAGATCTATGAGACTCTGGAGAAGGAAAAGTAATATCTCTGCGTCTAAATAGTAGTATTTTCCCTTGATCTAAATAGTAGTATTTTCCCTTGATCCAGCTGGTATGTTAATTAAAAGCACTGTTATGTACACTTATGTACACTGTTATGCGCATTAAAATGAGTATGTTCGTTAACAGAGCTGTTATGAGTACTTTGTTAAATGTTATAGTCACTTTATAAGCTGTGTGTTCTGTTATATTTACATAATGTGCTTTTATATTAAAAATGAATGATTTTCTGCAATAATAATTATAGTTTCTGCTTATAGAATCGACTTTTAAGTTAAATAAAAGACGTATTATGTTTGCAAAAGTGTTGCTATTTCACTTTCACTACTTTAACCATGGAGGAAGAGTATTAATACTTCTTCTTACCCAAAAAATGTTTCCCTTTCCATATTTTGTATTATTTTTTTGTTACTGCTGCTGCTGCTGCTCTCGTTGCAGCGACACCATTTTATGGTCGAAACTCACACACAAAAGAATGAGCTGAAGATATTGCGCATACGCCACGTTGGCCCTGTCTCCTCATCCATGTGAATGTGACTGCGACTGCAACTGCCACTGCCACTGCTACTGGGAGGACATCTCACAAAAGCTTTGAAGTTGCATAGATAAGCTTCAGTCTGTGGAGTAAATGCTGCATAACCCCCGGCGATTTGGCCGCCAAGGCGACAACTTCCCATGGAGAAAACATAAACTTATGTCATAAGCCATAACCCCCCTTTGGCCAAGCGCACAAGGGTCTCGGGTTCTCAGGTCCTCTGGTTCTCAGGCTCTCCAGCTACCAGTTACCCGGCATTAACCCATGTAAGCCGGAGTGTGGCAGACAATGACCCGCGGGTTATATGGGGCTATAGGGGAATAGGGATATATTCGGTCCACTAAAACAGAAACCAGAACGAAGGAAAAGTATAGCCGGCAGACCTAGCTCGCACACATTTTAAGCTTATTTAATGCGCGCATAAATTATTCAGAGAGGATGGGACGAAGGAGGGAGTCCTCTGTGTGGGCTTCGCGTTCCGCTGGCATACTCAATTATTTTAGATTATGTTTGGATTAGTGGTCAGGAGCAGGACTATGGCCCACTCCCGGTTCAACGGTCCCTGCGTCTGGTTATTGCACTTTATTGTCATTGGAGCGCCGCACTGGCGATGACAGCCCTCTGAATGGCTTTCGGCGTCCTTTGGCCTTTTTTCCTGTTTTCTATATTTTGTTTTTGTTTCTTTCCTTCCTTTTTTTTGGCTGCCCCAATCAATATTTAATTGACCCATTTCAGTGCTTTCTTTCTCTATGAATGGCTGTAGGTTTCCTCTTTTTTTGTTCACGTTGAAAACAATTTTATGCCTTTCCAGATTAAAGCTGGAACATAAGTCAATATGGAAAGTGTTGCGTGTTTGGTTTCAGTTTTTTTGTGTTGTTGTTTGTTGTGTTTTTTTGTGGCAATTGTGATTTAAATAAAAGGATTTTTTAATGGGTTGTTCTTAAATTAGTTGAAATGGGTTATCTTTTTAAATGAATCTCTTTATTAAGCTAAAATAAAGCTCCTTAAATTCTTATCTTTAAGTTAAAGATATATCTCTTTCTTAAGGTTAATCTTGTTTCCCTTTAAGTTTCTAGTTGTGGCAGACCTTCTTCAGCTTCAGATACAGATACTCCAGGGCAGTGAGCCATTTGGGGCATAAATTAGATTAGAACCGACCATAGCCAGTTGGTAATGGGCGCTGAAAGAATTTTTTTAGCCGCTTTTGCCGGGCCATGTACTTAATTTATATTAATGTTTCTGCCATCTCTCTCTGTCGCCGGCACGCTTTGTATATTTGTATATCCATATCTGTATATTTAAGTATATATATATAAATATATATATATCTGGCAGCGCCCTAAATTAATTTACACGAAGCTGGACAAAAAAGCGAGTATCTGCAGGATCCCTGATGCCCCATAAAATGTTCGTCCCTTGCCATTCTTATTCCCCTTTTTTTATTTGTTTTTGTATTTTTTGGGCTTTCAATACACTTTAATGCATGGCCATTGATGATGGCTTGTTGTTGCTATTGTTGTTGTAGCTGTCATATTCAATCAAATTTGTTATGGAAATAAATTGACAAATAAATTGTTGTATCAATTTATTCGTATCATTAGCGTGTCCCATGGCGGTAAATTGGTTTTCAATTTGATTTCCAAATGAATTGATGGAATTTAAAAAAGATTTGGGTAGTCTTTTTATCTGTGTGAATAATTCTTTTAGAGATTATTGCGAGTGATTTCTTTGAGTTTGTGCAGGAATTATATTTGTGACATTTTAAAATATATATTTCTGTATTTTAAGTAAATTGTGTATATTTAGATTCTATATTTTAAGTGTTTTAATAAATATAATAATAATAATAATATAAATATATAAAGTATTGAAATGTTAAAACGTAACGTTTATGGTTAACTTACCTCTAAAATTCTCAAGTGCGAATCAGTATCAATTTTGTATCATTTCAGATTCTATTTTATCATTATATACTCTAATAAACACAAATTAATTTAAAATAATAACTCAATTATATAAATTTATATTGAATTATATTCAATCACATGTTTTAATTAAATTGTATACCAATTTCAACCGTTTTAACCAATCACTGTGATTTTTTGCAGTCACAATTTAATTAAATTTGTCTATTTATGCATTTTCAACAACCTAAGCTTTAAGCAAATAAATCTATACAAACCAAAGTGAACCAAAATTGTTGTTGTTTCTATGTTTTATTGGGAAATCCTTTTGGTTTTTCATGCCCATTGATACGCACACTCTCACACACGTTGTATTTCATTTCGATTCTGTAGTTGTAACCTCAGAAAATCGCTGCCGGCAGCGACACGCTGATTAAATCAAATAACTTATGGCTTAGCCGCTGCTCCTGCTCCTGCTCCTCCTTGAGTTCCCTTCTGACTAGGGGAGTCCCTTCCTGGAGCCAGGGCAGAAGCTCCTTGGAGCAAGGATACTCGCAGTTGTCGGACAACGGAAATCAGCGCTGCCCAATCTGCTGTGTGGCCGAGTTTGGTTTGGTTTGGTTTAGTTGAGTTTTCTTTTTTTGACTGGATGGTTGGATGGTTAGGAGGTGAAGTGGGCCAACCGCCGTGGCTCATTGTGTATGAAATTTGCTCAACTGCAAGCCAAGCAGAAGGAAATTGCACACACACACTCATACATCCACAGAGCCTTATCCTGCTCACTGGATTCATTCTTCCCTCTTTTTTTTCTGCCACCAGAAGCTTCTCCTTTTCTGCTCGACTGCTGATGCGAAAGCTTCCTTAAGGCACTGGGAAAAATTAGGGGAAACCTATACATATACTGTAGTAGATTTTCCAAGGCATTTTTATATGTATTAGTTATGAAAAATTAATTATAGAAAAACATACCATATTTAAAAATTATCTGGTTAACAAATATACCTTTTACTGCTTTACAAATTAAATAATTTGTTAATTATATGTAATTTTAAAGTAAAATTTCAATATTTTATCCATTTTTCTCCCTGTGCATATCTCTGTTACTGCCATTTTGCTTAGCCCATACACTTGAAAACGTTTACTGTCCAGGACCTAGGGTGCTTTTCTCTGGGATATTGTGGGTGGATTGTGTGTGTGGGTCGGGTGGTTGGTGGTGTTCCTTCATTGTTAGTGTCGCTGTCGCAATGTTCATCTTTTGTTTCAATTGCTGCTCTCCCAACAACGAAGACGACGATGTCGACGGTCAGCTCAGATTTTGTGCCCGTATCTAAGCGCCTCCCGGATCTCAGAACCCATCCTCCTTTTCCCGTGCGGTTGGTTTATTGCAATTGATTTTGACGCCGCTGTTTATGCCACAACTGAACAATCGGAGCAGTTTAATCCAACTGCCAACTGCCATTGCCTCCATGTAGCCTTTGTGTTTGTGTAAGCATTTCCCGAATCGAATCGAATTGAATCGATACCATACCATTCCATTCGATGGCAATGTAAGACAGCAAAACTCCAAATGCTACCAATAAAATCGAAGCTTAGGTGAAGCGAAGGCAATCCTGGTTATAGTCCGCCATAAAGCATAGTTTCAATAGATGTTGAAAGGATTCCCAGGATGAAAATTGTGGGCTGTCTCAAGTATTTAAATTCTAAAACCTTTTAGGTATTTATCAATTAATATAAACTTGAAATTTAATTATATAATTTATTACGTATTGTATTTATAAATACTTCAAAACCCCTAAAGACACTTTAAACAAACATTAAACATATTTAAGCTTAGTTTATGTGCACTTTAAGCTAAAGCTTTTCAAAATTCCCTCGACCTTTTGCCAATAACCATTCCGTATTTTCCCTGATTTTGCAGCTACGTGCACGGAATTGGCTCCGAGACGCGAAATTCTCTCTTCCATCTGCACAACGGACGCGACATGGTCCTGGTCACCACCTGTCGCCATGGCAAGAGCTGGCGGGAGCTGCAGGATAATCGTTGCGACGAAGACAATCGCGAATACGACAGGTATGTACCTCCCATGGAGATGATGACGATAATGATGATGATGTAGAAGACGGTGGCAAAGTGGCCAGAAATTGTTTCTAGCTGTCATTGGGTCTGCAAGTAATTTGTTTAGCCTCCGCCATCGTGCTAATAGCTGCCACGCCCCCATCCTTTTGGCCATTAACTGAAGTCTAAGAGTCTCTCCTGCTCTCGCCGCCCGTCCCTATCTGGATCCATGCCGGGTGATTAATGTGCTGAAATCCGACTTGACAAGCTCATTTAAATGGCACGACACCGAAAAGGCCAAAGGCATTTGCAATGCCAATGGATTTTTCGTTGAGGAGACACCCGGGCACGCAAAAGGACAGTGACTTTTCAATCATGTTCAGGTTCAAATCGAGATCCACATCCCACTTTCACAACCAAATGATTTCAAATGTTTTCCGGTCGTTTTGTTTTTGGCCAAATTAATGGTGCAAATGAAGTTATAGAAAATGGCTGTCGTAGATGAACTCGTCACTTGATGGATAGGATTAAAGTTTCTATACAAAAGGATCTTTTTGAAGAAATATGTTAGGTCTCTAAGGATAAGGAGTCTTGCTTGAATGTAGGATTTTTCGGCAAAGGAAATTCTTTTACTTTTCTAAACAAATGTTTATAAAATAAACACAATTGGCACAAATACATATGATTTGTATTTGGAGACGATATAAAATACTTTTTAAAATAATTTCCATTGAGAAAGGTCTATAACTAATTTGTCATATTAATATGGTATTAATTTTGAATACATATCCCTTACTATATCTTTTATTTCTTCGCCTCTTTACAACTTTTTACTAGGAACCCTAAACAGATAGAAAATCGTAGACAAAAACTAGTTGAACTAGCAAAAATGTCAACTCTCAAAATTTGCTTCTTACCTCTAATTGAATATAATTTTTTTTAGATTTTCAGTGTTATTTTCTTCGCCACAGCGGCATTTCGTCCTTTTCTTTTAACCCTCCCCCGACAGGCTGTCTGTCCTCCTTTTTCCCCTCATATCTTGTAATTTGACATGACTTATGCGACAAATCTGCTTTGGCGTCAAGCGTCAGCGATTTATGCTTTCCCCCCACCATCCCTGAATTTTCCAGCTTTTTTCCCGCTTTTCCCCCTGGTGAAAAAAACCCAAACCCCAACTCCCTCAACTGTTCTACATAATCAAGCAAATTGCTTTCCCACTCACATCATTTTTTATCAAGGGGCTTCGCTGTCGGGGAAACTTCGTTAATGCACCTGTCAGATATATCTTTTGCTTCCTCTTTTTTCCCCCGCATGTGTTGCTTCTATTCTATATGTATATATATAGTATAGTATAGTTTAGTATATATATTTGGGTAAAATTGCATAATACCCCTTGAATAGCATCAGCAATCTTTAGTCTTTTTTTTTTGCTCTAAGAGCTCATGAATGCGCGTGGGCGCCAAGTTCTTTGGTTGAGTTTTTCAAGCTTCTGTATTTTTGATGAGTTTCCCTTCGGCATTAATATGCAAAATGCAAATATTTGTTGTTGTTGTTTGTTAATATACATAAATAGTGATGAGTAGGGGCAATGCCCAAGAAAATTTGATTCCGAAGCCAAGAACCGAAATCCATTCAATTTTGACAATGACTTAAAAGTTTTCTCGTTTTCTCTGGACTTTAACTTTGTAAAGAAAAAGTGAAATGGGAAGTTAATGGTCAGTCAAGCATCAAATTGAGATTTCTCTATGAATTTTTAGATGAATTTTTCTTTCAAAATTCATGAAAACAATAAATTTGAATTTTAGGAAGATAATAAATATAAATTAAATTGTTCTAGAGTAAAAAAAGATGAATGAAAATCTTTAATTTTAATTTTCTCTTACCATATTAACTTGCTTTTAAAAATCCTTGAAAGAATATGATAAAGCTCAATTAAAGTTTTAATTTTTACTACCAAACTTGGACCTTAAAAATCCCTTTTAATTGCTGTAACTTTTCCAAATCCTGTCCATATAATAATGGCTATATATTATATATATATTAAATATACAGCCATATTCCTTTACGCAAAATCCATTAAAAAGTTTTGTTATTACTTCAACTCATTCTTTACCACAGCCTGCCACCAAAATATATAAAAAAGGAAAGAACTTTTTCAACTGCATTCAAAAACCTTGAGCTGCTTTTAATGAAATTTTTGTTGTTTTTGTTGTTTGTTGCTGCCGCAGTCCCGCCTTTTGTTGCTGTTGTAATGAGCCTAAGGCGTCAATGGCTTTTGCCGCCGTCGATGTCATGCAACATATGCAGCACAAGAAGCAGAGGTTGATGAGCCGCCGATGATGATAATCATGATGATGATGATGATGCCACACGACGCCAGTTCTATTTAACATTTTCCTTTTTTTTGTATTTTTTTGCGGCTTGCGATACGAGGTCAACGATATTATCCAGTTTGTGCTTCTTCTGTGTCGGCTCTGCGGTTGCCACTACTTAGGAGAATTTTTTTGTGTCTCAAAAACAGAAAAAAAAAGTAGAAAAGAAGTAAACTTTGGCAATAATATACCACCCAGATTTAGGTATATACCTTTACTTTGTTTGGATTTGAATTATAGAATTTAATCGGAAATCGATCATAACTATACTTAAAATATTTTCAGTCTTTGAATCGATATTTATCGATATTTAAAAAACTCATAACTAAGTCAAAAAATCATTAATTTAAATTCGGAAAGCTTTCCTATGTTAGTTTTTAATGAAATAATAAATATGCGTACTCAATTTAACATTTCAATAACATTTTTGAAAATGTTGCCCCTCGAAAAATTTAAAAGAATTACATTTTAGCGGGACATACCTAGATCGATTCGGCTGTTGATGCTGATCAAAAATATATATGATTTATACGGTTAGAAATCACTCCTTAACAGCTTTTCAAGCTTCTAACTAAAATTGTAAGATCCTCCAGCAACTGTAAAATTAAAGATAGTCTAAAGTAACTAAGATAAAAATTTAAGGTTTATAATTTATTAAATTTATTTCAGTTTACTATATTACAAAGCACACTTTTAAATAATTTCCAAATGCAAATGAAAATTCATTTTACTTGTGAAGTAGTTTTTCATATATTATTCCCAAAAACTAAGCATTAAATCAATTGTATTTAAATTGTTAAGTGTTTAATAGTAATATTTTTTTTCAGTGCATACCAGACTGCGGTTGTGCTTCTGTGTCAAAGACTTTGCCTATTTTTGAAGTCAGCCGAAAGTAGCAACTGTGGGAAATAATGAGACGCCATGTAAATGTCCTTGGGAGTAAAAGTTGTTCCTCATTTTCTTTTTTGGCCTGTGTTATTTTCTCTGTGTTTTTTGTTATTTTTTTTTTGTGTGCTATTTTTTTTTGTTGCCGCTAACAGCAGACGCGACGAAATTACGTATACGCCATGTTGCTGGGAGGCCACACCAACTGTTGCAGCCACACGTAGACGCGTTTGTGTGCGAGTGTTTTGGGGCAGGACCGGGTGGCACTATTGCCTCAAGGTTCTTCTGTGGCAATTTTCAACATTCGGCGGCCCTTTAATTTGAGTTTAGCAATTTATAAGGTTTTGCAGTTTCCTTTTTTTTTAGGTTGCCCAATTTTTCAATACGCAATTTTCGAAACTTATTTTGCAGGCGTGTTAATGTGCGTAGTTTGTGGGTGGGTACAGTGTGTGTGTGGGAGGAAACTTTCCCAGAGTTCAAGGTTTCTCTGGGGAAACTCATTTTTTGGCTTTTGGCATCAGCAAGTTTCTATATTTACATGTAAATATATATAAGCAGCTTGGCAGCGTTAGGAGAAAATTGTGATGGGTGCATAAATTCGAGAGTTTATTTTATTCATTGGCTTGAATTAGAATGTGATTTTCATGGGAAAGCAGCTCCTAAATCTTTGGTAATATTAAATGTATTTTATTAAAATATCGCCTTATGGTTACTCCCCTTTTAATTAAGAAATATTTAAGTTCGAGCGGAAAAATCCATGTCCTGAGCTCTTCAATTTATTAAAATATGCAATTTCCACTTTTGAGCTCATCCCTTTGCACACACACTCGCATCGAAGTTAATATATATAAAAATGCAGCCCCTTTTCGAAGATTCAAACTAATTTAAACATATGAAAAGGGAAGAAAGAAAGAAGAATCCCTTCTTCTTTGGCAGTCAACTCATTACAGGACCCTTTTTCCTGTTCCCTCCTCCTCTCATCCCCCCCTTTCGGGGAATCTCCGGCTTTATGCATTTTTCATAATGTAATTTCCCAAGTAATAAATTTTCATGCCAGCATCATCATTATCAACAACAAGCAGGAGGACGAAAGGAGAACGAGTGCAAACTTTTGGCTCGGTGCAAGGTGCAGATGCCGTCATTGCACCTGTTCGAAGGAGCTACCTTGCCTCCACACTTTTCCGTTGCCACTTTCCACGTTAATCTCAGATTTCCACATAAATCACTTTAAAAAGGCGACACACTTGCAGGAGCCGAAGCAGCACCAGGAGCACGAGCACGAGCAGGATCTTCAGGCTGTGAGGGTGGGGCCAGTGCCAGGTGGAACAGAAGGCACCAGAGCTACCGCCAAGGTGGGAAAGCGAGTTGTGCAATGGCAATTTCTTTGAGTACTTTCTCCTATTTCCCCTTTTTACTATTATAACGTCGGTGTCGGTGTGTGAGTTGCCCCAAAAAACGTGCCAAGTAATTGCCGGCCATTGCCTTAATGTCCTGGGCATAAGGACCTGCCATGAGTTGAGCAAAATAATAACCAGACTTTTCCCCTCAAAAAAAAAAAAGAAACTCTGTTTTGATGTATGAAAATATTCATTAAATTTTTGGCCTATTTATTTTAATAATTATACATAAAATGAGGTATTTAGAGTTTTGTAGGAAATATATTACAAGTAAGGGTTATTTATTTAGGGATTCGAAATCGGTTACCTCCGCATGCTTAAATTTTTCAGTTATTTAAATTATGTAATATAATAATATTTA